ATTTCCGACCCGGACAATTTTAGGGGTCTACAGCCACTCGCCAAGATCACCACGAGAATATACGGAAGTTCATCTGGAAGAGCATCATATGCAGGTTCGGAATTTCGCATTCCCTTGTTACCAACAACGGCCGACAATTCATCGCACAGAGCTTCGAAGACTTCCTTCAGGAACTCGGAATTAAGCACCTCCCGGCCTCGGTGGAACACCCACAGACCAATGGCCAGGCCGAAGCTGCCAACAAGGTCATCCTCCGAGAGCTCAAGAAGTGGCTAGGGAATGCCAAGGGACAATGGGTTGACGAACTTCTCAGCATCCTTTGGGCGTACCATTGCACCCCCCAGTCAACAACACAGGAAACGCCTTACAAGCTGACTTATGGAGCTGACGCCATGATCCCGGTGGAAGTCGGGGAGATATCTCACCGACGCCAGGTCTTCAACAGCGAGCAAAATGCTCAAGAAATAGCAGGTGACCTTGACTTGATCGACGAGCTGAGAGACGAAGCTCGGATTCATGAAGAAGCCTGCAAACTCTGAGCTTCCAAAAGATACAATACGTGAGTGCGACCTCGCTCTTTCCGAGTTGGTGACCTGGTATGGCGGCTGTTAGGCGAAGCACGGAGAGACACATCAGACGGAAAGCTTGCACCCACCTGGGGTGGCCCATTCTGAGTTACAGAAGACTTGGAGAACGGGGCATACTGACTAGAAGAACTCAGCAGAAAATCCATCCCGCGAACTTGGAATGCCACGCATCTCAAGTTTTATTTCAGTTAACTTTGTACGAATGAGCTATGCACTGGTTTCCCGACTCAGTCTTTTGTCCCAAAAAATATAGAAATTGATTTTTTCTTATATTGTTTTTAACGAGGCACACGTAACATCAATAAAATAACTCATTCTTTTCCATTCACATTCTCTTAATTCTGCATCATTTTACCATAATATGCTTTATGTTACACCGAGGTTGAGTTCAAACCTTGGTACGATCTATTTTACTCTAAGCCGAGGTCGAGTTTGAACCTTGATACGAATTATTTTACTTTATGTTGAGGTCGAGTTCGAACCTTGGTACGATCTATTTTACTTTACACCGAGGTTGAGTTCGAACCGTGGTACAATGCATTTCATTCTAAGCCGAGGTCGAGTTCGAACCTTGGTACGACCTATTTTACTTTACACCAAGGACTAATTCGAACCTTGGTACAATTCATTTCACTCTAAGACGAGGTTGAGTTCGAACCTTATTACGAATTATCTTACTCCCTGTTGAGGTCGAATTCGAACCTTAAAAAGAAAACTCAACTCGAAGTCGAATACGAACCTCGGTACACATTATTTTCATCTTACACAGAGGTCGAGTTCGAATCTCGGTCTAAATCGTTCTATCTCACCAAGGGTCGAATTCGAACCTTAATACGAATTATTGCGCCAGGCCAAGTTTGAGCCCCAAAAGAGCACAAAAAACAAAAGTGCACAACACATAAGTTCAAAAACAAAAGGCCAAATAGAATCATCGAAAGCGCGAAGATAAAATCTCACAAAGTGATATATACACGACAATATCAGAAGAGTTCAACACATAAATCCAAGGATAATAAAAAATAACCAGAACAGAATAAACTAAGCTATTACAAAATCGGCCTAGGTAGAGGCATTGTCGCTTGAGCTGTCCTGGAGGTCATCCTCCTTCACCAGCTTCCCAAAGCGAACCTCCTTCTCCACATGCATGGCAGAGAGGTCGATCCCGGCGCAAGTAGCCTCGCTTGGCAAGCTGCCTTGAGGAATCCTTTCTTGTGCTCAAACAGGACAGCTCGCTTGGTTTTGACGAGCTTCTTCTCCAGCTCCGCCTTCACCTCAGCCATCTTCGCAAGATCCACCCTCAAAGCAGCGACCTCCTCTTCTTTCCCACCAAGAAGCACCTCATCACAATGACGCTTCTCAGCCGCCGCCACCAGATCAGCCTTCAGGTAGGTTACCTCGTCTTCTAAGGAACGCACCCGGCCTCGGGAGGAATTGGCGAGCTCCTACAGCTCACTCACTCGGGCAGCATGAGTTTCATTAGACCTTAGAGCAATCTCTAAGGACTTCTAAACTCTCTCCAGCTCCCTCCTGGTGGCTTGGAGCTTGGCCTCATTTTGCAGCTTAGCATCACCGAGAGCAGTTGCCAAGGCCTTATTCACCTCCTTCAGGGCCTTGTTCTCCTCCTTCAAAGGTTGGACTCGGCCCCTCAGCTTCGCCAGGTCCTCCTGCTGCTTGGGCCACTTATGCTTCTAGTGATCCACAATTTCCATCATCCTCTGTAACTCCTCCTTCAAAGGTTGGACTCGGCCCCTCAGCTTCGCCAGGTCCTCCTGCTGCTTGGGCCACTTATGCTTCTAGTGATCCACAATTTCCATCATCCTCTGTAAGAAGACCTCAACAGAATCAAGGCCTTCCACTGGCCCGGCCGTCTCGATCATGGCCTGATCAGTCGTGCTCAACGAATCCTGGGAGAAGAATCTCTCCGAGGTCGCCCCCACGCTCCACAGGGAATCTATATCCTCTGAAGCGCTCACATGGTCCAGACACATTCGAGAGCGATCCTTCCCGAAGCGATGGGCGAGGTATTGGCTTTTGGGGGGCCCCTTCGACGGGCCAGACGGTGGTGCCGAGGTCGCTAGATTAGGTGTCGAGATCTCGGAGCTCGGCCCCTTTCCATGGACCTCGGCAGAGGCAGAGGCAGGCGCCTCCTACTCGACAACGGGGGCACCCGCCCCTGGCACGTCCGAACTCGGAGCCACCGGGACCTCAACAACATCCCTCACCTACAAAAACACAAACACAAAAATTTACTCCCAAGTCAGGAGGACGAGAAAGGGCAATGTAAAAGGAAAATCACAAAGAAAGGCACTAACCTCGGCGGCCTGGGCGACTTCCTCAAGGAAAACCTAGGGAGCTCCCTCAGGCTGCGAACCGCCGGTAAGGTCGACCGCGTCAGCATCGACAGCCTTCAAGGTCACCTCCTCAGGGCCTCGAGGGGCAAAGGTCCCCCTGACCTCTGTTTCTCCCCTCTTTCTTTTTCTTCGGGTCTCCAGGGGGGCCACGTCCTCCTCCTGAGGTTCAGGAACCTTAATCTCGGCAACGTTGTAGCGCGATTTCAACTCGCGCCACTTGCTTTTTCCCATTATACCTGCAAGTACAATAATCAGATACGTCAGTAAAAGCAAAAATTCCCAAGCCCTTAACAACCAAAAAGACGAGATACTCACTCTCTAGGCCCCTCTCCTTGTACACCGAGTTAGCAAGCGACAAAACGAGCTTGCAGTCCAAGGGACGAGGGAGCGCCTCTAGGTCGGCAATGGCAGCAGCCTCCGAGGCCGTCAACTGAAGGTTGCCCGATCCGTGAAACCTGGCTGGAGCTTGCCGCCAATAAAGAGGGAACCTCGGCAGCCCGCTGAAGTAAAATACCCCATCGTCCAGCGGGTTGACATCCACAAGCTGAACCCGGAAAAACTCTTGTTTGAAATTTTGGTAAGACTGGGAGTAGAGAGAAAATAATCCCCCAGCCTTACTGCTGTTCAAAGAATCCCAACCATAAGGGGGTACACCCAGCTTCAGTTGGTAAAAATGAAGAAAGACAGGGAGAGATACCTTTATCTCTATGGTCGAGCATAGAACCTAAAAGGCCCTCAAAAAACCCCAACTATTGGGGTGGAACTGGCAAGGACCCGAGTTGATAAAATTTAAAAAAATCACATTCAAGTGGGGTAAAGGGAAGGCATACGCCTAAATCCCTGAAAATGCACTGGTACATATAGAAGAAAGGAGGGTCAGAGGGACCCCCCATGTAGACGCGCTCACCGGGCTAGCACGGTTCCAACCGGATAAGCTTGGAAAGAGAGGATTCACAGATCCTATGCGATTTCCACATCGCATTAATCTCCATAAACGACCTGAAGCTGCTCTGAAATTCCCCCACGTCACTCCTAACCCAGTCGTAGCCAAGAATGCCGGGGAAGGGTTCCTTAGGCTGGTTCTCCCCTTTCTTTTTTTCGGCGGCGACCGTCCCGGCAGCCACTGCCTTGCCACGCACCTTACCCTTGCCTTTGGCAGGCGTAGGTCAATCTTACTAAACACACAAACACCCATTAATGATCCATAAGGTCATTTATCCTCATATCAACATACATTCATATCAAATCATATTAGAATACCTGTTTAAACATTCATATATATATATATATATATATACCATCCTTAAGCATATATGAATCAATCACCATTTACACCATATAGCATGTACATGAACCAACTTTACCACATGACATTGTATACAACCTTAAACAACCTTTCAATCCATATGATAACACCTCAAAACATCATAACAAAATCAATTTTTATCCTTGCATTACCCAATAACTCAAAAACATCATGACTACATACATCTCCCTTCAAAAACTATCTGATGGAAACTTGCTTGGAGAATCCGGATTGATGTGAATCCTCTTCAAGTTCCTCCCTAGATCTTTGGCTCCTTGATTCTTCCTAGGCTTGGCTAAGGTCTCCAAGGGAGGAGGAGACCTTAGAACCACCACGGTTTGGTGGAGAACACTCCCAAGAGGCGCCACTCCTTGATGAAGAGATAAGCCACTTCAATTCTCACCACACTCTTCT